CCTCGCCCGGACTCCTGGGCCCAACACCCACTCCCCTCCGTGTGCGTGCACACGCACATGCTCACAGATGTGCATGCACGTACAAGCAAGCACTCACAGATGCACACGCACATACACAGATTCACACACGTGTACACACAGATGCACATGCATGTGCACAGATTCACACACACATGCTTGTTCACACATGCACACGCTCATATGTAAGCACATATGAGCACAGATGCACACCCACGTACACTCCCATGCTCACACAAACGTACGTGCTCACAAATGGACATGTACACCCAAGTGCACGCTCACAGATGCACATGCTCACAGATGCACACATTCACAAATGCATACACATGTATACACACATGCTCACAGATGCACACATGTTTACGTGCACACACAGATGCGCACGTGTACACACATGCAGATATACATGTTCATGCACACACATGTACACACACAAATGCACACACATGTATAGGCACACATTCACAAATGCAGACTTGTACACACAGATGCACAGACATATACACGCTCACAGATGCACACACACGGACACGCACACACTCACAGATGCACACACACGCACATGCTTACAAGGACACACATGCACTCAAGTCCACACTCCCAGATGCGCACGTGCACAAATGCACACGCTCCACAGGCACATGCATGTGCACACACGCCCACAGATGCCCATGCACGCCTCTCCTTCCTCGTGCCCAGCCACCCAGTGGGGTGAGCCACTGTTTCGTTTTTGTGTTTGGGGTCGGCTGGTCTGGCTGGGCTCAGGGCCTGCTCCTGGCTCTTGCTCAGGGGTCACTCGGGGTCCTGTTTGGAGGCCTCTATGGGGTGCTGGGAATTGAACCTGGGCCGGCCACACGCAAGGCAAGCGCACCCTCCCCACACGCGCCAGATTTTATTTCTCAATTTACTTTCGATCTCTGGCCACTGTCGGGGAGTAGGAACCTCTGCCAGCCTCCAGCAGAGGCCCCTCTGGGGACTCCACGTGTCCACAGCCCCTCCCCCGCCGCGCCCGACCCAGAAGCAGTGGGAGTGTGTGGCCTCCTCCACCCCCCTGTCCCTCTCCTGAGGGCACTGTTCATTGTCAGCGACCCTCATCCTGGCGTCTTGATCCTCCTAGGACAAGGCTGTCCTAGGCCCTCCCGAGGACACCGGGCCCCCAAACTCTGCAGCGCCAAGAACTCACAGAAGACAGCGGCCCCTCTCTCATCCCCATGGCCCCCAGGAACTCCTGGAGAAGCAAACTCAGGCCTATTTTCAAGGGTTTTTTTTTGGGGGGGGGAGGGGCACATCCAGTGGTACTCAGGGCTTAACTCCTGACTCTACACTCCGGTATCACTCCTGGTGGTGCTTGAAGGACCAGAGGGGATGCTGGGGATCAAACCCGGGTCTGCCGCCTGCAGAGTGAATGCGCTACCCACTGTGCTATCTCTCGGGCCTGCCTGTCTGCGAGTTCCTTCCACTTCCTTTCTGAGGTGCCCACAAGGTCCCCCCGCACGGCTGCTGTCAGTCCCAGGGCCAGACAGATACTAGCTGGAGTGCTGGAGCATAATAAGCCCCGTGAGCCGCCAGGGGAGCGTGGGGAGGGGTCACCTCTCCGTGGCTCCCTGCCACTTGCAGCCGCGGAGTCGCTGTGACCCCCCCGTCTGGGCATGGGTGTGTTTTAGAGCGAGGCCCGGTGCTGTCTGCTAACCGGGTGGTGGGGTATGCCGGCTGGTGCCCTGGGATGAGATGCTCCGGGTGTGGGCTGTGGGCAGCCACCGGCCCATGGAGGGGGGGGTCTGACTCCGTACCCCAGCCCCAGGGCCGTTCCCGGGAGGCAGCGCTGCTCAGCCCCAGTTCGAGAGGAGGAACCCCCAGGCCCAGAGGGGTGGAGTGACTTGTGCAGGGACACACAGCAGGGGCGTGAGGCTCGGACAGCACATGCAGACCCTGGCCTGGACCTGAGCTCGTCCCCTCCTCCAGCCCTGGTGCTCGGCGGCCGGGGGAGCCTCTCCTGGCCGGCATCAGGCGGGCCTTGGTTGCTTGCTCCCGTCTATCCATTGGGCAGCCTATTTCTCCTGCCATGGCCAGCCAAGACCTGCTGCAGCGCCCGGGGGTCAGGCCAGCCCTCAGCCACCAGCTGGAACCAGCCTCAGCACCTCTCAGGCCTGGGGGCCCTTAACAAGCCCCCCCCCACGCTGAGAAGCCCCCCGCAGACCCGGTGGAGCTCTGTGACCAGCCTCCTGCCTGGCCAGGCACCTCTTCAGCCCAGCAGCTTTCCTTCTTTCTTTCTTTTTTTTTATTAAAGTATTTTATTTTTGGGGCTGGAGCAATAGCACAGCGGGTAGGGTGTTTGCCTTGCACGCGGCCGACCCGGGTTCGATTCCCAGCATCCCATAGGGTCCCCCGAGCACTGCCAGGAGTGATTCCTGAGTGCATGAGCCAGGAATAACCCCTGTGCATCGCCAGGTGTGACCCAAAAAGCAAGTATTTGTATTTTCCCCTGTACGTGGCTGATCCGGGTTCGATTCCTCTGTCCCTCTCGGAGAGCCCGGCAAGCCACCGAGAGTATCCCACCCCCACCCACGGGGCAGAGCCTGGCAAGCTCCCTGTGACGTATTCGATATGTCAAAAACAGTAACAACAAGTGTCACAATGGAGACATTACTGGTGCCTGCTCGAGCAAATCGATGAACAACAGGACAGTGATACAGTGATTATTTTTATTTTATTTTATTAATATTTTTTCCTTTTTGGGTCACACCCGACGATGGCTCATGCACTCAGGAATGACTCCTGGTGGTGCTTGGGGGACCCTATGGGATGCTGGGAACCGAACCCGGTTCGGCCTTGTGCAAGGTAGACACCCTCCCTGCTGTGCTATCACTCCAGCCCCAGCCCAGCAGCTTTCAAGGGTGGGGGGGCATCTTCCCTTTGCAGATGCACTGAAGCTGGGCAGATTCCCAAGGGGACTGCGGCTCCTCCCCCTGCCCTCCTCACCCTTGGGAGCTGGGGGGAGGGGGTCCAGCCTAGAAAGGCGAGGCCCTGAGCTAAGAGGTCAGGAGCACGAACAGGCAGAGGCCGAACTGCAGGAGGGGCGGGGGTCCCCTCACCACAGGCACAGGACAGAGGAGAGGCACTGCCGCCAGCCCTCGGGACCTCCCCGAGCTGGTCAGCCCCGGCTGCAAAACTGCGGTGGTTCGAGCTCTGAGCCCCACCCAGAGCCAGCTCTGAGCACCGCTGGGTGCGGCCCCCACAAGGAACTGGAGAAAGGAGGGCCCTGAGGAGGGCAGGCGGGGCTGGGAGCGGGGGAGGGTTTCGGGGTGCTGACCCTTGACTGACTCAGCGTGAGGAGGCCTTTCCTGGAAGCGGGAGGCAGGAGCCAAACCAGGGCCCTTCCCACAGGGGTGTGTGTGGGGGGTGGTATTGAGGCAGCGGAAGGTTGGGGGGATGGAGTTGGGTAGGGAGGGCACCTGCTAAGGACCCCAGGTCTCACCCTGCCCGACCTCGGCACCTGGGCAGGGTTCCGAAGGGGCAGCCCTGCAGGCATCACAAAGAGGAATCTGACGGTTCTTGAAAGGACCTCCTGGAAGTGGCGGCTGCCTGAACCCTGGGGACAGTCTCAGAAATGGGCCCTGGGGTGGGGGCAGCCCTGGGGTGCCCCCGCCAGCCGTCCACCTGCAGGGGAGGGGTGCGTTCACCCAGTGCCTGCTTCCTTCCCCCGTCCCCGCCCCCGGGGGTCGGTAGGGGGAGCACAGTGCCCCCTGGGACATTTCCTCCAGATGAAATCACATTCCCCCCGCGGGCGACAAGCCCCCCTTTGTGCGGGCCAGCTCAGAGAAAGGCCCTTTCAGACCCCACCAACAGAAGCCCCGAGGTCCTGCCCGCTGCCCAGACAGTGACCTGCAGCTGAGGGGTCCACTTGGGCTCCCCTCTGGCTGCCAGATGCCTCCCTGCTCTGTATGTGGGGGAGGGGGTGGAGGGCTCGCAGGGAGTCCCCACCAAGAACTTTAGGGGTCCAAACCATCCCTGTGCAGAGAACAGCAGCAGCTGTAAGTGAGGGGGGAGTGTGGGAGGGCCCTCAGGCCGCGGGGATGGCACCCCCCAGCCCTGCACTCTGGCCCTGGTGGGCCCTGTGCCTAACTGCCCCCCACGCAGGCAGGTGGAGCCGCTGTGACTGTGGGGGTGGGGCGGTGGAGTCTGTCCCCAGGGGAGCAGATGCTGGGACTAACCCCCACTCTGTTCCCACGTGGGGGTGGGGCCCCCCCCCCGCAAGTGCCCCCTGCGGGCAGCCCCTGCCTCCCCTGGCCCCAGCACCCCCACCTTGGGGCGCGTCTCCCCGCTTCCCAGAATGGGCGCCCCTCCTCAGAGAGAGGGCGATGATATCACTTCCTGGGGCGGGTGGGTGGTGGGAAGAGGCACGACCCCCAGGGAAGCCACTGCCAGGGGTTCCTGGGGCCCTGTGGGGGTCTCTGTGTCTCCCCATCACACAGACACACACACACACACACACACACACACACACTCCCCGGCTGCATCACTGTCGCGGTGTGGGCTTGTCCCAAGGGCGCAGCCGGGCACAGGGCAGGGCACACGGTTTGGGCCCAGCAGGAAAGGCGAGAGCCATGGAAGAGGGCGCTTGCCTTGCATGCAGCCCACCGGGGTCGAACCCGGAGAACCCCCCGTGTGAGACTGAGCCCCGCCAGGAGGGATTCCCTGAGCACCGCTGCGTGTGGCTCCAAAGCCCAAAGAAAGCTTTTAAGCGCCAGTCCCTGGAGCCCTAGTTTCCCGAGCGCCCCGTGCCCGATGCACCTCCCGGTACCCCAACCGGGCTCAGACTCCCCGGGGGCGGGGGATGAGGGGGTGTGCCCTGAATGCGGGATACTGTGGGGCAGGGGTGAGTCCAGGCCTCAAGGACCGTGGGCTGGGGGCAGGGTGGGCTATATGCTGGCTTTGGGGGGGGCGGCACCGGGTGCCACGGGGTCCCTGCTCTCTTGCAGGAGGTGCGTGCCAGGCCCGCTGAGCCTGCGCAGAGCCGCCAGCCATGCCCGGGATCGTGGTGTTCCGGCGGCGCTGGTCAGTGGGCAGCGATGACCTGGTTCTGCCGGCCATCTTCCTCTTCCTCCTGCACACCACGTGGTGAGTCCGGGGAGCAGGGACCCCGAGACCAGCCCCCCCTACCCCCGCGCACGCCTGCGCGCCCCTCGGGAGCGATGCCACCTGGGAGAGGCTGCGTGGCCCCGTCCCCCCCCTACCCTACACCGCGCCCGGCTGCCCCCCGCCATCCCGCCTCACGCGGCCCCCATGCCCACCCCCCAGGTTCGTGATCCTGTCCGTGGTGCTCTTCGGCCTGGTGTACAACCCCCACGAGGCCTGCTCCCTGAACCTGGTGGACCACGGCCGCGGCTACCTGGGCATCCTCCTGAGCTGCATGATCGCCGAGATGGCCATCATCTGGCTGAGCATGCGCGGGGGCATCCTCTACACCGAGCCACGCGAGTCCATGCAGTACGTGCTCTACGTGCGCCTGGGTAAGCCCCGCACGCACGCGCGCACCCACGTGCGCGCAACCATGCACGCCTGCGCGCGCGCGCCTCCGCCGCCCAAACGCAGGGGGCGCCCACCAGCCAGGCGCGCGGCATTTCCATTCCAGACCAGGGGTGGGTAGAGGACAGCCCGACTGCTGGGTGGGGGTGGGAGGTTGTAAATATAGTTTTGTTTTGTTTTGTTTTTTGGGTCACACCCGACGATGCACTGGGGCTACTCCTGGCTCATGCACTCAGGAATTACGCGGGCAGTGCTTGGGGGACCCTATGGGATGCTGGGAATCGAACCCGGGTCCGCCGCGTGCAAGGCAAACGCCCTTCCCGCGGTGCTATCGCTCCAGCCCCTGTAAATATAGTTTTATTGGCACCCAGTGACCCTGGGTGACGCTCATTCTGGAGGCCTCCGTGTGGCCCCTGCAGCCTGCAGCTCTAGTCCTGGCACCAAGGGCAGCTCCCGCAGACTGGTGGGCAGAGGACGTCAGCCGTGGGGCCCGAGCCAGGCGAATGTGTGTCTGCTGGCCCTGGGGCAGCTCCCCGCAGTCCCCCCTCCCTGGAAAGTGGAAGGCCCGGCGCTTGGGCGCTTGGACGAGCTGCCCCCTCCCCCCATCCACCCACAGTGCCAGCCTGGTGCCCCTTCCTGGGCCTGGAGGGCTCTGACTGGTTCCTGGTGAGCGTTTCTCTGCAGGAACGTGGGGAGGAGCATTGATGGGTTCCTTTTCCAGATGAGGAATATGGGGACCCCAGGGTGGCCGCTTGTGCCCCCCGCGCACTGTGTGTGTGTGTGCGCGCGCGCGCCTGCGCCTGCCTGGGACACTACTTCCCACCTGCCACCTCCCACCCCCTGGTGCCTTGTGTTGAGACAGCCACGGTGACCTGAACCCCTCCCTCTGCCCTGATCCCCACACGTCATCCCCCCCCCCCCCGTCGAGGGGAAACTGAGGCCCCAACGGATTCGGGAGCTTGCCCCCGAAGACCCCTGTGGGACCCTCCAGGACTGCGCGCCCACCTCGGCCGGCTCTCCCCGCAGCCATCCTGGTGATCGAGTTCATCTACGCCATCGTGGGCATCGTGTGGTTGACCCAGTACTACACGTCCTGCAACGACCTCACCGCCAAGAACGTCACCCTGGGTACGGGGGCGGGGGGGGGGGGGCACGCCCCAGGCTGGGTGGGAGGGGCTGTGGTCGGCAGGGACCACCCCCGTGCGGAGGAGGCTGCTGGGACCGCCTGGGAGCTGCCCCAGCACCGGCGCCTCCCACTGCTGCCCCCCAGGGATGGTCGTGTGCAACTGGGTGGTCATCCTTAGCGTCTGCATCACCGTCCTCTGTGTCTTCGACCCCACGGGCCGCACGTTCGTCAAGCTCAGAGCCACCAAGAGGAGGCAGCGCAACCTGCGGACCTACAACCTACGGTGAGTGACGTGGAAGGGGCGGGGGGCCTTCTGGGACGCCCCCACCTCCTCCCCCCTCCCCCACTCAGGTTACTCTCTGACCGGGCTTCCCGGTCTGGGCAGTGGGCGGGGCCAGGGCTGTCCCCAGCCCCCTGCCTCCACCCCTGAAGGGTCAGACATGCTGGACAAGTCAGCAGCCCTAGTCAGAGCCAGGAGCACTGTGCACAGAGCCAGGAACACTGTGCACTTCGGGAGGTCCCTGCCATCACCACCCACCGATAGGGCAGGCACAAAGCAAGGGGGACCCCGAGATTTCCCCGGCGGGTCCTGTCCCAGGCCCGGCTCTCTTCATTTCTCTGAGTCCCAGTCATGCTCAGGGACTCCCCCCGGATCTGTGTTCTGTGTCTGCGGGGAGCGTACAGTATCAAAACTAAAATCCGGGGCTTGGGGCTGGAGAGATAGCACAGTAGGGCGTTTGCCTTGCACCTGGCCAAACCAGGTTCGATTCCCAGCATCCCATAGGGTCCCCCAGGCACTGCCAGGGGTCATTCCTGAGTGCATGAGCCAGGAGTAACCCCTGTGCATCGCGAGGTATGACCCAAAGAGCAAAAAAATAAATAATAATAATAAAACCTGGGGCTTCTGCGCACAGAGAGCGTGCCCAGCCCCCCAATTCATCTTCCCTGGCCCCTAGAACCCTTGCTGGGCCAGGCTCCCCAGCCGAGCTGGTCTGCTGCCACCGTGGGAAATTAATTCACCCAGCACCCCCTCAAGCCCCTCCCCCGCCACCACCTCCAAAAATACGCCTTTAGGGCTGGAGCCATCGGATACCGGGGTGCGCTCACCTTGCACGTGGCTGACCTGGGTTCAACCCCCGGCACCCCGTTTGGTCCCCCGAGCACTACCAGGAGTGATCCCTGAGCGCAGAGTCAGGAGCACTGACAGAGGTGGCCCACGACCTTCCCCTGAACAAGGGAAATGCGGTGGCATGCCCAGCACGGCCATCTGAGGCCAGTGTCACCTCAGAGTAAGGTGGCCAGAGGCAGTTGATGGGGAGAAGGCTGTTCTCGGGGACTTGGATCAGGCTTGGGCGGTGCCCTCGCTGGAGTGAGCCCTGGCATCCCGCAGAGTGGCAGGAGGGGAGCTGGGAGGAGGGGGGGCGGCCCAGTGTCTGGGCGCCCATCCCGGTGAGCGGGCAGATGTGGCCCCCAGGAGGAGGACCCGTGTCCAGAGAGGCGGTCGTCGGTCAGGCTCATGATCTCGCCTCACCCCCAGGTCAGGAGCTGAGCAGGGGTTCTCCTGGCCTCCCTAGGGTTCTCCCCGCCCTTCAGCTGGGCACTGCCTGCCCCCACCCACCACCCAGCGCCCCCACCGGAACGGGAGCCGCGCGTGAGTCCCTCTGGCGCCCGCCGCGCGGCCCATTTTGCTCGCTCTGAGCCAGTCGCCCACACCCGACCTGGTTTCTTGGGCTCCTGGGGCCCAGGACATGCCTCCCCCACCCTGACTCCGGGTTGTAATTGCCTTTGGGGCCCAGGGCCGGCCAGGGCCCGCGGGGTGACGGGCGGGGACGGGTGATTTTAATTGGGAAAGTTGTCCATGACCAGGGTCGGGTCAGTAGGCTGCGTGGGAGGGGTGCACATGGGGTGCGTGTGCAAATAGGGGGGTGCGCGTGGGGGGCTGCAGGTGGCAGTGGGGGGTGCAGGTGCGGCTGGCGTGTCCTCCCCGCCCCCCAGTGACCGCACTGGCCCGCTGCTCGGAGACCACCTGTTTTCCACCCCGGGACCCCCATCAGGCCCGCTCCAGCCCCTCGTGAGCGCCGGGGTTGAGAAGCCAGGCGGGCCCCGCGCCCCCCTCTGTCTCCCCGCAGCCACCGCGGCCACTCCCACGAGCCGAGACAGGATTGATTTCTGCAGGACGGGGGCGCTGGGCGAGAGCGCGTCTGGGTGTCCATGCCCGGGCTTGGCGGGTTTCGGAGGCGCCCCGGGCCCTGCTGCCCCCTGGTGGGCCGCGGCGGTACTGCGGCCAGGCGCCCTCGGCCTCTGCACCCAGGGGTCCCAGCCGGGGAGCGTCGCCCTGAGCTGTCTGAATCCGGGAACAGCAGCGTCCCCCGCCTCCAACGTCCAGCGTGACACGGGGGTCCTCGCGCTCTCTCTCCCAGTAGGCCTGCCCCCGCCTGGCTGGCCGCAGTGGCCGCAGGGCGTGGCTGGCTCCCAGCTCCGTGTAGTCTCCTGGCGCCCCCGGCAGAACCTCCAGCACTGCGGTCTTGCCTCTGGGTCTCAGCCCCTCGGCCCGCCCACCCAGAGCTCAGCGATGTGGGCGGCGTGGGTTGGGGCATCAGACCCGGGTGCTGCAGAGATGCCCCTACTTTGGCTCCCAGCTTTTTGGTTTTTTTGCTTTTGGGGGTCACACCCAGCGATGCTCAGGGGTTCCTCCTGGCTCTGCACTCAGGAATTACTCCTGGCGGTGCTTGGGGGACCCTGTGGGATGCCGGGGATTGAACCCGGGTCAGCTGCGTGCAAGGCAAATGCCCTCCTCGCTGTGCTATCGTTCCGGCCAGGCTCCCAGCTCTGTATCCTCCCAACCCCCCCACACACACACACTCAAACACACACTGTTGTCACCTGTCCAAAGCCTGGCATTTGGACACTGGCCTTGGCCACAGAGACCCTGCAAGAGCCTGCGTGTCCCCATCTGGCCGGCGGTGGCCCAGCCCAGGCTGTTGTCCCTTTGACCTGCCCCCGTGCCCTGGATGGGCCCAGGGAACAGGCCGCCTGTGTCCACACGATGAGCTCCTGGTCTCACACCAACGCCCCCTGCCCCTTTGCAGCCACCGTCTGGAGGAGGGCCAGGCCACCAGCTGGTCGCGCAGACTCAAAGTCTTCCTCTGCTGCACCCGCACCAAGGACTCGCAGTCAGTGAGTACTGGGACCCCAGTCAGTGAGTACCGTGGGCCCCAGTCAGTCAGTACCGGGGGCCGAGTCAGTCAGTACTGGGGAACCAGTCAGTGAGTACCAGGACCCAGTCAGTGAGTATTGGGGCCCCAGTCAGTGAGTGCCAGGACCCCGTCAGTGAGTACCAGGACCCCAGTCAGTGAGTACCGTGGGCCCCAGTCAGTATCAGAACCCCAGAGTGTGTGTGTGTGTGTGTCTGTCTGTCTGTCTCTGCATGTATCTGTGAGTTTATGAGTGTGTATCTGTGTGAACATGTCTGTGTATGTTTTTGCATGTGTCTCTGTGTGACTGTTTATGTGTGTTTGCATATGTGTCTGTGTTTCACTGTGTGTCTGTGTGTGTCTGTACCTGTGTGTGTTTGTGAATGTGTATCTGTGTGAGTGTATCTATGTGTGTGTCTATGTCTGTGTCTCTGTGTGAGTATCTGTGTGTGTGTCTGTGTGAGTATGTGTCAGTGTGTGTGTGTCTGTGGCCGGGGTCTGGAGGATGAGGGCCTTTCCTCCGTCCCTGGGATGTTGGCCGAGGTCCCCAGCTGATATAAACCAGGAGCCCCGAGTCAGAGAAGGGCCCCCCCGGAAGCCACTCAGAATTGGGGGGCTAGGTGGGGCCCAGAGGCCTCAGGCAGGACCCCGAGCCTTCAGGGTCTGTAGTGGGCATCCGATCTTGCCCCTACTCTGCCGAGGCTCCCTTTGGCCCCCGGAGCAGGTGGGAACGTGCCTGAGCCCACGGGTTCCCCACCCGGGACCCCTCAGGTGTGTTGTGAGTGAGCACACGGCAGAGAGTCCCCCTGGCCCCCCTCAGGCTGATGGGCACTGTGGGGAGCAGTTCTTTGCAGCAGGGGGGCTGCGCCTGCTGGACCCTGGGTGGGGAGAAGCCCCCGCCAGGCACGCAGTGCTGGGCCGGGCCAGACCCGGTCACAGCCGTTGGGTGGACCCGCACTCCAGCCCCGCATGCCCTTTCCCGGGCCGGGGTGTCGCCCGCTTAAGTGGAATGTTAAAGATCAGGCATCTGGGCCCAGTGACAGTACAGCCGGGAGGGCGTTTGCCTTGCACGCGGCCAACCCGGGTTCGATCCCCGGCATCCCATAGGGTCCCCTGAGCGCTGCCAGGAGTAATTCCTGAGTGCATGAGCCAGGAAGAACCCCTGTGCATGGCCGGGTGTGACCCAAAAAAGCAAAGAAAAGAAGAAGTAGCTGCGAGTTTGGCCCTTGGTTCTCTCATTCACTGGCCCATGAGCCGGGGCCAGCTGGGGATGGTGGCCAGCCGGGGATGGTGGCCAGCCATGCCCCTGCTCCCAGGCCCGCTGCTCTGTGTCCAGGCACAGAGTGTCCTGGGAGGCTCCGGGGCTGCTGCGGGGAGTGGGGGGTGGGTGGGAGAGTGTTCTGGGCCCCGTGGTGTGGGGAGGACACAGCCAGGCCGGAGCGCCCGGGGTTCACGGCCCTCCGCCGCCCCCGTGCAGGACGCCTACTCGGAGATCGCCTACCTGTTCGCCGAGTTCTTCCGCGACCTGGACATCGTGCCGTCCGACATCATCGCCGGGCTGGTACTACTCCGGCAGCGGCAGCGGGCCAAGCGCAGTGCCGTGCTGGACGAGGTGGGCCCCGGACGCCCCGTCGGAGGCCCCGGACCGGCACCGGGTCCCTGAAGCGCTGAGCTCAGGGTCGGCTCCGGTCGGCCCCCTGCCTCGGGGCTCCCCGGCCCACAGGGTGCATGACCCCCTCGGCCCTGGCCCCGGCCCCCCCGGGCTGGGCGGGGTGGGGAGCAGGTGGGAGATGGGAAGAGCTGGGGTTTGGGGGCGCGGGGGCGGGGGGGGGGCCCGGCCTCCGGGGAGGGGCTCCCACTCAGGTGCTTGCTGTTGCAGGCCAACAATGACATCCTGGCCTTCCTGTCGGGGATGCCCGTCACCAGGAACACCAAGTACCTGGACCTGAAGAACTCGGTGAGCCCCCACCCCCAACCCCACCCCGGCCCAGTGACCCCGAGAGCCCCCCCGCCGCCACACCCCATCCTCCCCCAGGAACCCCAGCGTGTGGGTGGGGCCCATGGGGCTCCTTGGAAAGGCGTTTGGCCCCGCCCCACTGTCCGTTGCCGGACCCCTTCTCCGAGACCCCCTTCTCCACCACGCCCGGCATAGTCCGGCGACCTGACGCTGTTCCTGTGCACGGGAACACAGGGGATCCCCCAAGCCTCAGTGTCAGGAACCGAGGGCCTACGGGAAGGAGGCCTCCTGGGCCTCTGCACGCCCCCCCCGAAAGGCCCCAGCCTCCCCCACCCACCCCCACCCGCCAGGAGGGTGCCAAGGGTTAGCCTTGGCCTCATCTCAGCTGGGCTGTGCCCTGACACAGAGACACATTCCCCATGCCTGGGCCTGGGATGCACAGTGCTCCCCCCTCCCTCTCTCCCTCTCTCTTCCACTCTCCCTCTCTCTCCCTTTCCCTCTGTCCCTCTCCTCTCTCTCCCCTTTTTTTAAAAATATTTTTTTAAATATATTTTTTTTGGCTTTTTGGGTCACACCCGGCATGCACAGGGGTCACTCCTGGCTTTGCACTCAGGAATTACCCCTGGCGGTGCTCAGGGGACCATATGGGATGCTGGGAATCGAACCCGGGTCAGGCTGCGTGCAAGGCAAACGCCTTACCCACTGACTATCACTCCAGTCCCCATCTCTCTCTCCCTTTCTCCCCTTCTTTCTCCCTCTCTCCTCTTCTCTCTGTCTCTGTCTCTGACCGCTCATGGTGACTAATTGCTCTCTTTAACATGCCAAGGTGACTAATTCCCTCAGAGAGAGCCCAACTCCTGGGGTCGCCAGGAGACTGCTGGACTGGGACACCTGGGTGCCCCCCTCCAGCCACTGGCCTCAGTCACCTCCCCGAGGTGGGCACCTCCCTCTCACCATCTGTCCCCCCATCTCCTGTCCGGCACACCACACGCGTGCCCAGGGGAGTCTCCCCAGTCACAGACCAACCACAGGCGCCCACCCCCGTCAGGCCGCCCAGTGGTCACATACTGGGGGGGTCAGAGACCAGCCAAACGTCCCCCCCACACACACACCCAGTGCGCCCCTGGGGTGCCGCCCGCCCCCCCCCATTCCCTCCTCCGGCAGGCTGGGAAATGGATCCAGCGGCATTGCGAACGAGCTGCGTGTGTCTTGGTCCCCAAATCAGGGATTCTGTGACGAGCTGCAGCCCCGTTCCCACGAGGACCGTGGCCCAGTTGCAGGGAGATAATTAGGGAAACGCAATTATCGGCCCTGGGAGCCGCCCTACTTCCGGGGCGGGGGTGGGGGGTGCCCAGGTTCTGCGCAGCCGACCCCCGCCCGCCCGCGGGGGCTGACCACCCTGACCGCCCTGCCTGCCCTGCCCGCCTCGTCTCTTCCAGCTGGAGATGCAGCGCTACAAGGAGGTCTGCTACTACATGCTCTTCGCGCTGGCCGCCTACGGCTGGCCCATGTACCTGATGCGCAAGCCGGCCTGCGGCCTCTGCCGCCTGGCGCGCTCCTGCTCGTGAGTGCCCGCCCTGCCCCGCAGCCGTCGGCCCCCCCCACCCCGTGCACGCCCCCACCCACCCGACACCCCACCCACACCTCCCAGAAGGCCATCCGTGGGGGTCCAGGGAAAGGGCATCTCGACAGCCCTGGGCATTAGGATCCAGCTGTGTCGGGTGCCAGCGAGGTGGCTGTGCCCTCACAAGTGGGCAGAGGGCGGTTCTGCTTTTCTTTGTATTTCTGGGGTTTTTTTCTTTTTTCTTTTTTTTTTTTTTTGGCTTTTTGAGATGCTCAGGGGTTACTCCTGGCTCTGCACTCAGGAGTTACTCCTGGCGGTGCTCGGGGGACCCTTTGGGATGCTGGGAATCGAACCCAGGTCCGCCGCATGCAAGGCAAACGCCCTACCCACTGTGCTATCGCTCCAGCCAGCCCCAGTTCTGCTTTTCCAAGTAGACTCGACTGGGGTGCAGCCCACGGGATGCCTCCTGCCCCGGGGGTTGTGCCCTTGGTACAGCCCATGGAGACCCCGGGAGCCTGCGTGTGTGCAGCCCCTCCTGTGGCCTCTCTTGCAGGAAGCTGGGTGCATGCACTGTCCCTCCCGTCCCCCCTTGACCCAGGTCACCCCCCCCAGACCAGGTGGACCCGGCCACTCCGCTCCCACGCACCGTGCACAGCTGCCCTTCCTCCCTGTGGCCAGGGGCACCCCTGCCACGGCTGAGAAGTGCCCCGCACACTCGAGTGAGCACTGGACCAGGAGCCCCGACAGGCGTGCGGCTAGGCTCACCGGCAGGGTGAGGCAGGCTGCTGCTGGCGCGTGGGACACAAAAGACCTTGACCTGGGTGATAACAGCTGGCCAGTGCCCCGGGGAGACCAGCAGACGGTCCGGCATGCCCCTGGGTGCCTGGGAGAGGGGTACAGAGAGAAGCATGCCTGGAAGGGGGGACCTCAGGGGACCCCAACAAGCCCCAGCCTCGCCCTGGACCGACCCGTGGTCAGTCCCCACGGGCAAGACACTGGCCCCAGCTCAGAACTCCCCAAGCCCCGCCTTGTGCTCCCCCACCCTCCCTGCCCCCTGCTCTGCTCCCTCCAACCCAGGGAGCGGCCTCAGCCCCGCCCCCAGTCAGGAAGGGACCCCCAGAACTAGGTTGCAGGCAGCCGCCCGCCCGATGTTCCCGCCCCGGTTGGGGGGGTGGGGAGATGGCAAGCTGGAGAAGGGCGGGCTGACCCCCACCTTGGCCCGCAGTGTGAGTGGGGCTGGGGGCTCCCGTGGGCATAGAGCGAGTTGCCCAGGCCTCGGCCCCTCCCGCCAGGAAGGGCCCACGGAGTCTCGGGCTCCCGACCCCTGAGGCCAGGCCCATCGGTGCACCGCTGGCGCCCTCTGCTGGCTAGAGACGCACCTGCACCCCCTTGCTAGGTGCCCTGGTCTGGAGGGGCTCCCCTACTGTGGCGGGTGTGTGACGCTTGTATGTAGTGTGTCACCTGTATGTAGTGTGGGCATGTGTATGACGGATATATGTAATGTATGATGCTTGTATGTAGTGGGCATGTTTATGATGTATGTACATAGTGGGCATGTGTATGACGCGTGTACATAGTGTGGGCATGTGTATGATGCATGTATGTAGTGTGTGATGCGTGTATGTCGTGGGCATGTGTTTGATGCGTGTATGTAATGTGGCCATGTGTATGACGCATGTACGTAGTGTGGGCATGTGTATGACGGGTGTATGTAGTGTGGGCGTGTGCATGGGTGGTTGTGTGTAACATGGGAGTGTAAGTCGTGTGGGTCAGTGTTTGGTCTCTGGAGTGTGTCGTGTGTGTGCCGCGGGCAGTGTGATCTCTGTGTCCACAGTGTGCGTGGTGCCCGGGCTGGCCCAGGGCCTCTGCCACGTGGGCAGGTGCTGTGCCACGGAGCCCCCTCCTGGCCCACGGTGGGCGTCGGGGTGCCAGTGAAGGGGCGCAGCGGAGAGTCTCCAGGGCAGAGGGAAGGCGGGGGGCAGGCGCGGGGGTGTGGAGGGGAGGGGCGGAAGCTGGGCAGGTGTGGAGTGGCCCCTGGCACGCTGGTGGCAGCAAAGGCGGGACACTGGGAAGGAGATTGTTCCCCGCCAGAGGCTGGTGCTGCCCGGCCGCTTTGGGGGGGAGGGCACCGGCCCTGTAGGGGCACAGCCTGAGCCTGCCCCCCTCACCCAGGTGCTGCCTGTGCCCCGCGCGCCCTCGCTTTGCCCCCGGCGTCACCATCGAGGAAGACAACTGCTGCGGCTGCAACGCCATCGCCATCCGGCGCCACTTCCTGGACGAGAACATGACGGCCGTGGACATCGTCTACACCTCCTGCCACGACGCGGTGAGGGCCGGCGCAGGTGGGGCCACGTGAGCCCAGGGGCAGGGTCACGTGAGCCCAGGGCGGAGCCATGTAGGCCCAGGGCTGGCGGGGGCGGGGCCACGTGAGGGGCGGGGTCACGTGAGGGGGCGTGGAGGGTCATGTGAGCCCAGGGGCGGAGCCATGTAGGCCCAGGGCTGGCGGGGGGGGGGGGGGGGGCGGGACCACGTGAGCCCAGGGGGCGGGGCCACGCGAGGGGACTCGGAGGGTCACATGAGCCCAGGGGTGGAGCCATGTAAGCCCAGGGCTGGCGGGGGCGGGGCCACGTGAGCCCAGGGGCGGAGCCATGTAAGCCCAGGGCTGGCGGGGGCGGGGTCACGTGAGCCCAGGGGCGGAACCGTGTAAGCCCAAGGCTGGCGGGGGCGGGGCCACGTGAGGGGGCGCGGAGGGTCACGTGAGCCCAGGGGCGGAGCCATGTAAGCCCAGGGCTGGCGGGGGCGGGGCCACGTGAGGGGGCGCGGAGGGTCACGTGAGTCTAGGGGCGGGGCCACGTGATGGGGCTCGGAGGGTCACGTGATCCCAGGGGCGGAGCCACGTGAGCCCAGGGGTCGGGGCCACGTGAGGGGGCATGGCGGGTCACGTGAGCCCAGGGTGGAGCCATGTAAGCCCAGGGCGGGCAGGGGCAGGGCTTCATGAGAAAGGGGAGGGGAGGGCCACGTGAGCCCAGGGCCAGCCTGGGACCTGGGGGTCACACCTGTGTCTCGGGCTAGAGTGGTTGTGGGGGGTCACACCTGTGTCCAGGGCCGGGGGTTTGGGGGGCCGGGGTTCATACCTGCACCGAGACCCGTGGCTCTGGCCCGTCCGGGTGCCACTGACTGGCCGCCTCCTCCAGGTCTACGAAACCCCCTTCTACGTGGCCGTGGACCACGACAAGAAGAAGGTGGTGATCAGCATCCGGGGAACCCTGTCCCCCAAGGTACATGCCCGAGGCCCCCGCCGCCCTGTGCGCCCCCGCGGCTCCCCCAGAGCGTCCACCCAATTCCTGCCGCCTGACCCCCCCCACAATGTCCTGTTCCCCAGGACGCCCTGACCGACCTGACGGGTGACGCCGAGCGTCTCCCCGTGGAGGGGCACCATGGCACCTGGCTGGGACACAAGGTACCCACCCTGCCCGCCACCTGCCCCCGCCAGGACCCCCGCAGCCCTCCCCCTGCCCCCCTCGCGGTGACTGCAGGGGGGAGGGAGCCCGATGCTTCCTTGCGGGGGGGGGGGGACACAGCCAGGCTGCCCCCCCACACCCACCGTGCCGTGCGTCCCCAGGGCATGGTCCTCTCGGCCGAGTACATCAAGAAGAAGCTGGAGCAGGAGATGGTTCTGTCCCAGGCCTTCGGGCGCGACCTGGTGAGCCCCGCGCAGGACCACGGCGTGGGGGGGAGGGGTGCTGCCCCCACATTTCCGTTCCCCAGCTCCCACCCCGGCCTCTACCACTTTTCAACCAGCCCCTTGCCCATCTGCTGCCTTCTGCGCACGCCTGCTCAAGAGGGAGGGTGGGGCCCCTCCAAAACACAGAGCAGCTTTAGTTTCAGAGGGGAGGAGTGGGGGGGCCAGTCTTGGGGGGGAATAATCCGGGTCTTAGAGCCCCCAGAGATGGCGTCAGGGACGGGCCGAGGGCTGGTGACGAGTGGCCAGCACTGGGTCCCAGAGAGGATGTGCCGAGGGTTGAAGACAGGCCCGGGAGGGAGGAAGTCAGGGTTTCTCCAGGGAGGTCACTCCGAGAAGGGCTTTGAAGGGTGAATAGGAGTTTGCTGGACTCGTCTCTCTCTCTCTCCTCCTCCTGCCCAGTCCCAATAGGGGCCATGCTTGGCCATTCCCCCTGGCCCAGCAGCACAGACAGGGCCCCCGGACTCCGAGAAGACGCCCCCTCGGCCCCTCCGTGGTGTCCACTGGGGCCAGACGGGGCTCTCAGGGTTGTCTCGGTCCCCAGGGCCGCGGCACCAAGCATTACGGCTTGATTGTGGTGGGCCACTCCCTGGGCGCGGGCACCGCCGCCATCCTCTCCTTCCTCCTGCGCCCCCAGTACCCGACCCTCAAGTGCTTCGCCTACTCCCCGCCGGGGGGCCTGCTGAGGTGAGCAGCTGGCTTCCGGCCACATGGGGGTCAGTGGGGAGTGAAGGAGGGTGGGGGTCGTGAACAGGGGGCAGGGGGCTTCCTGATGAGGGGAGTAAGTCAGAGGGAGGAGGACACATCCCCGCCCCGAGTGTGGTTCAGAGAGGGACCTCCCGTTCCGGGAGCTGTCCGGGTAGAATCCAGAGGGAGGGGACAGGAGAGGTGACCCCAGGACACTGGTGCAGACACCCGGAACTTTGGAGGTGGTGGGGTGCAGTGACTGTACCTCCACGCCCAGAAGCGTCCATGCTGCTCTCAGCCTGTAGCCTGCCCTGCAGCCACAACTGGAGAAAGAGCCGGGTGGGGGTGGGGTGGGAGAAGAGACCCCTGCCTTGCTCGGGCGCACTGGTGGTCTCTGCGCACTGCTGGATGTGGCCCCAAAACAAAAATAAAAAGCGAGAGTAAAATCAGAGCAAGAACCGGACCCAGGATCACACACACACACACACACACACACACACACAGCCTTACTGGCAGGAAATGGTGTGGGGAGGTGATCAGGGGGGTGATGAATGAGCAGGCAGCCCCTCCCCGCCTGAGCACCCCACTTCCCTTGCAGCGAGGATGCCATGGAATACTCCAAGGAATTCGTGACAGCCGTGGTTCTGGGCAAGGACCTGGTCCCCAGGCGAGTGGGGGGCCTCCCCTGCCCCTCTGACTCCCTGCAGCACCCCGGAGTCTCCTCCCTGCCCCCCACCCCACCCCTAACCCTGCTGGCCCACAGCCTCCCCCGCCCACCCAGAACTCTTCCCTTCTGGCCGCCCCGCGCCCCCCACCCCCCAGTCCCTCCAGGCCCCCTGAGCCAGGCTGACTGCCCACTCGCTGCGCCCCCAGAATCGGCCTCTCGCAGCTGGAAGGCTTCCGCAGACAGCTCCTGGACGTCCTGCAGCGCAGCACCAAGCCCAAAGTGAGCCCACCCCCTGCCCGGCCCCTCCCCGGCCCCAGCGGGTGGACAAATGGGGAACCCAGGAGGGGTGGTCCCGCGGAGCGGGCGACTCGCTTTGCTCACCGGGAAACAGAGCCCAGGGCTCACGGATGCCTTCGAAAGCGACCCCCAGGGGTGGGGTCCCGGGCCCCACCAGGAGTGATCCCTGAGTGGTCAGGAGTCAGCCCGAGCTCTGTTGGGGGTGGCCGCAAGGCAGAACCCCCCCAAAAATTTTGTAAGGGCTTTAAGCTCCTGACAACCGGACCTGTCTGGACCCGGGAAGCCACCTGGCCCCCTTCCGGGACTGAGGGGCCTGTAGGGGGGACAGCACAGGAGAGCCCCAGCTCCGAGAGGCAGACAGGAGGGACAGTGCACCTGTGACTCCCACACCGTTCATCTCCTTGCCATTTGCATGGTTTCCCACGTGCCCAAACTTGGCGCCTGTGGCCTTGCACCAGGTGCCAAGGTGGTTGTGGGAGTGAAGCTGGGGGGGCTGAGTTGGCCCCAGGAGCCAGTTCTGGGAGGTTGACCTGCGCCTGCCAGCCCCGCCCCCTGCATCCAGGAGCCCCGCCCCCAGACGCCCCTCAACCCTGCCCTTGTCAGCCCCGCCCCTGACCATGCCTCTGCACCTGTCAGCTTTGCCCAGCTGCCATCAGGCCCGCTCCCATGTCTGCCAGCCCCGTCCCTGCTCCCATCAGCCCCACTCCTGCTCCCTTAAGCCCCGCCCCTGAACATGCCAGCCCCGCCCCGTCCTGTCAGCCTCCACCCTGCACTAGTCAGCCCTGCCCCTTCACCTATCAGCCCCACCCTTGCTCCCATAAGCCCCGCCCCCACACATGTAGCCCCGCCCCTGCATCCATAAGCCTTGCCCCTGAACATGCTGGCCCCACCCCTGTTTTTGTCAGCCCCGCCCATAAGCCCCATCAATGAGCCTGCCAGTCCCGCCCCTTCTCTCAAAAACCCCGCCCCCGAGCAGGCCAGGCCAGCCCCTGATTCTATAAGCCCCGCCCCTTACCAATTAGCCCCCCCAGTGCCCATAAGCTCCACCCCTGAGCAGGCCAGCCCCGCCCCTGCTCCCATAAGCCCTGTCCCTGCTCTCAAAAACCCTGCCCCTGATCCTGTAAGCCCCGCCCCTTACCAATCAGCCCCGCCCCAGCACCCATAAGCTCTGCCCCTGAGCAGGCCAGCCCCACCCCTGCTCCCATAAGCCCTGCCCCCTGAACATGCTAGCCCCACCCCTGTTCCTGTCACCCCCCCCCCGCATCCCTCAGCCCCCCCCCATAAGCCCCACCACTGAGCGTGCCAGCCCTGCCCCTGCTCTCATAAACCCCGCCCCTGAGCAGGCCAGCCCCGCCCCTGATCCCATAAGCCCCACCCCTGTACCAATCAGTCCCGCTCCAGCTCCCATAAACTCCATCCCTGAGCATGCCAGCCCCACCCTGCACCCATCAGCCCTGCACCCACGCCTGTAAGCTCCACCCTTGCATCCATCAGTCCCCCCACTTTGAATACAGCCCCCCACAACATGCCAGCCCTGCCCCGGCTCCCATCAGCCCCGCCCCCACGCCAGCAGGCCCTTGGAGGCAGGTGGCGAAGTTGGTCAGCCAGGCCCTGCGCGAGAGGTGCAGCTGGACTGCAGAGGCGGGGGGGGGGGGGGGGGCTTGGCTGGTTTTCAACCCTGAAATCCCAGCATCATCGTCTGTCCCTGCTCGGCTCACTGCCCTTCTCCCCCACCCCCAACACAGTGGCGGATCATCGTGGGGGCCACCAAATGCATCCCCAAGTCAGAGCTGCCCGAGGAGGTGGAGGTGACTGCCCTGGCCAGCACACGCCTCTGGACCCACCCCAGCGACCTGACCATCGCGCTGTCGGCCAGCACCCCGCTCTACCCGCCCGGCCGCATCATCCACGTGGTCCACAACCACCCGGCCGAGCAGTGCTGGTGGGTGCCGCCGGGACCCAAGGCGGCAGGCACTGCGTCCTCCAGGGCCCGGGCAGGGGCCAGCCTTCGCCTGCAATTCCCAGGGCCCCCCGCAGAGGGGGCTCCCCCTGGCTCCCCAGAGCACCTCGCCCCACTGTGGTGCATGGGAGAGCAAACGCCCTGGAGGGGTCCCCTGAGGCCCTGGCCCACCCCAGTGGCCTCCCAGCACCCAGCACCGGGGTTACTGGGAGGGGGACGCAGGGCTCTGGAAGCTGCGTCAGTAGCATCAGGCCTTGATGCCTCCCTACGGGAGCTTAGGTGACCCCACAACGCTGCTATTGGGGATCCCCAGGCCTGGAAGCCAGCCCAGTGGCTCAGGAAGGGCGCAGGGCACGGGCGAAGGGGGGAGCGTCACCCCCCGCCCACGCAGGTGCCAGCTGGGAACTGCCTTGGGGAACGGCTTCGCCCTTCCCTCTGTGCCCTTTCGGGAGTGTCAAACCTGGACCTGCCCTGAGCGGGCCGCCACCTGCGGGCTGCAGCTGTGGGGGCCACCCACACCTCCCCTGGCCATGTCCCCTCAGCTGCTGTGAGCAGGAGGAACCCACCTACTTCGCCATCTGGGGGGACAACAAGGCCTTCAACGAGGTGGTCATCTCGCCGGCCATGCTGCATGAACATCTCCCCTACGTGGTCATGGAGGGGCTCAACAAGGTGAGGCCCTCCTCCCCCTGCCTGGCCAGCACAGACCCTCAGAGGTGCCCCAAGACCTCTGATTGCTGGGGGTGAAGACCCCCAGTCCTCCGGAGCTGCTCTGTCTGCATTCCCACAGGGACCCTGGGGAGGACACAGCCAAAGTGGGCCTGGGGGTGTGTGGGCGCGCGCTGGCAGCCTCAGCCACTGCCCTGGCCAGGAGGGCCCACCAGGCTGGGGGTGTGGAGGGTGGGCGCGCTGCCGAGAATCCCCCCAGCAAGGCTGTGCCTCCCGTTCCTGCTGCTCCCCAGGTGCTGGAGAACTACAACAAGGGGAAGACGGCCCTGCTGTCCGCCGCCAAGGTCATGGTCAGCCCCACCGAGGTGGACCTCACCCCGGAGCTCATCTTCCAGCAGCAGCCGCTGCCCACCGGTCCGCCGGTGCCCACCGGCCTCGCCGTCGAGCTGCCCCCCACGGACCACCGGAACAGCAGCATCAGGTGAGGCCCGCCCCACTGTCCGGTCCCGCTGGCCGCCCTGTGCGCATGCGGGGGGCGTGGTCAAACCCGCCCCCGCCCCCTGCGCCCCTGTGGCCACGCTGTTTTTTTTTTATCCTCCCTCAACCCCATAGCCAGGCGGCCCCTCGGCACGTGCACGCCCACGCGCGGTCACGCGCATCCCCGCCCCCAGCACGTGCGCTTGGAGCCACTCCGCGTCCCAGATGCGTGTGAAGGGCATAGCCACGACCCAGGGGCGCGCTCTGGGGTTGGGGGTGCGAGGGAGGGGGACCCGATGCGCCCGCTGCCAGGCCTGGCTGGTGACCCCTCTCACAGACGGACACACACCCGTCACGCCTGCTTCTGACACGCTCCGGGCGGGGGGCGGGTCGCGCTGGTCGCTTGGGGTACGGGGAGAGGGATCACCGCCCCGGCCTCTCGGGGACCCTTCGCACCCACACCCTGAGCCGGACTCTTCGATGTGGCCTGGAGGCTGCTGAGAGGGCCGGTGGCTGCTTCCAGCTGCGCGTGGGGAACCCAGGACCTCGCTCCCGACCTACGGTGCACTTGGGGGGGCTGCATGGCCAGATGGGGGGGCCTTGTCCAGTTCTTTGCAGCCAGTTCCTGGTCCCTCCACCCCCCCCCCCCCCCATCTGCTGCTTTCCTGCAGGCTCGAGCAGCGGCTGCACGCTCTGGAGGGCATTGAGTGAACAGGGCAGCCCTGCTGATGCTCCCCCCCCACCTCCCCCACCCCCCGCTCCCGGCCCTCCACCAGACCCCCGGGGCCCTCACCCTCTGGGCTCAGCCCAGCAGCGACCCCGTGCCTCTCTCGGGTGCTTGCGAATAGGCTGCAAAAGCAAGGAGAAAGGAGCCGGAGAGACAGCGCAGGGGTTAAGGCGCTTGCTTTGCATGTGACGGAGCCAGGTCCCATCCCCAGCACTGCCAAGAGTCCGATCCCCTGAGCCGGGAGTCAGCCTGAGCATGGCCAGGTGTAGACAGCCCCCTCCCCAAAGGGGAATAAAAGAAAAGGAATCTGCTAGGTGTGAGGACAGAGCGCTAGGTCAGCGGGAGGGCATCTGCCTTGAGCACAGGCCGGCTTATGCTCCAGCCTAGGCGCCCCCATATGCCCTGAGCCGAGCCGTGAGGACCACCGGGTGTGCCTCCATCCCCCCCATCCCCCAAATAAAAATACTGTAGTTTTGGGCCCAAGAGATAGTGCAGGTGGGGGAGGGGGGTTGTGTGAAAGATCCTGATTTAATCCTCTGCACTCGGTAAGGCCCCCGAGCACAGAGCCAGGAGTGACCCCCTGAGCACAGCAAGGTGTGGCCCCAGGGGGAAAAAAAAGGGGGAAAAAGGAATCAGGAAACCAGGGTTTTCCCTCCAGGTGCGTGCAACCACGGCCTAACTGACTCTCCCTCCTCCCTCCCCCCCAAGTTCCCTCCATCCCCGGCCCTGGGGGTCTTTCTCTCTGCCCCTCCTGAGTCTCACACCCGCCCTGCCCCGCCCCCTGCAGGACCAAGTGCCAGTCTGAGATGAGCCTGGAGGCCTTCTCGGAGGGGCGGCTGCTGTCCCCCGCGGCGGCGGCGGCGTCGGGGGCGACGGCGCGGCCGGACCCCGTGGAGCTGCTGCTGCTGTCCACGCAGGAGCGGCTGGCGGCCGAGCTGCAGGCCCGGCGCGCGCCGCTGGCCACCATGGAGAGCCTGTCGGACACCGAGTCGCTGTACAGCTTCGACTCGCGGCGCTCGTCGGGCTTCCGCAGCATCCGCGGCTCGCCCAGCCTGCACGCGGTGCTGGAGCGCGAGGAGGGGCCGCTCTTCTACATCGACCCCGCCATCCCCGAGGAGAACCCGTCGCTCAGCTCCCGCACCGAGCTGCTGGCCGCCGACAGCCTGTCCAAGCACTCGCAGGACACGCAGCCGCTGGACGCGGGCACCCCGGAGCGGCCGCCGCCGCCGCCGCCACAGCCGCGGGAGGAGGAAGAGGAGGAGGCGGCGGCGGCGGCGGCGGGGGGCAGCGGCGGGGGACGCCGGGGACGCCCCGCGCGCGGCCGACCTGGCGCTGCACAACGGGCGCCTGGGCGACTCGCCCAGCCCGCAGGTGCTGGAGTTCGCCGAGTTCATCGACAGCCTCTTCAACCTGGACAGCAAGAGCGGCTCGTTCCAGGACCTCTACTGCATGGTGATGCCCGAGAGCCCCACGAGCGACTACGCCGAGGGCCCGCGCTCGCCGCCCAGCCAGCGGGACCTCCTGCTGCGCGCGCAGTTCGAGCCCAACCTGGTGCCCAAGCCCCCGCGCCTCTTCGCGGGCTCGGCCGACCCGTCGTCGGGCATCTCGCTCTCGCCCTCCTTCCCGCTCAGCTCGTCCGGGGAGCTCACGGACCTCACCCCCACGGGCCTCAGCAGCCAGGAGTGCCTGGCGGTGGACAAGATCCGGACCTCGACCCCCGCGGCCCACGGGGCCAGCCCGGTCAAGCAGGACGACCTGGCCATCTCGGCCCGCTAGCACCACCAGGACCACGACGACGACGCCCGCCCGCCCGCCCGCCCGCGGGACGCCCCGCCCCCACCCCGCCCCTCACTCTCCCCCCCCCCTCCTCCCCGCTGCTCCTCTGGGTACCCAGGGGCCCGGCTGGGCCTGGGGCACTGCTGCTAAGCTGGGGGTCCGCCTCCCTACCTCAGCTTAGGACCCCCAGAGCCAAGAAGAAGGCCAGGATCTGGGCCACCCAGAGTGGCAGCCGGCGGGAGGGGCCCTGACTGCCCCCCTCCCTGCGTCCCTCCCCCATCCCGGTCCCTCGCGTCCCGGTCACTGCCCCTCCCCCCCGCCGCCGCAGGTCGGAGCAGAGCCCCCTCTGCTTGTGGTCCAGGCTGCTTCATCCTGGTCACCCCCAGATGTGCCTGCGGGCAGCGCCCTGAGGTGACCCCCCCCACCCACAAGGCGCCCCCACACCCCTCCCCGCAGTGCTGCAGATGTTTACAGAAGCTGTGGGTGGCCCCTCCCCCCCACACCACCTTGCAGCCCCTCTGAGCAGCCCCCCCAGGCCCAAGGCAGCCAGCAGGGCCAGAGGGATCTGAATCATCCCCCCCCAACCCCTGCCCCCAGGCCGGCCCCACCTCACCCCCAAACACACACACACACACCCCGCAGCTGCTCCCTGGTGTGCCAGAGCCCTGGGAAGCAGGCAGGGGGTGGGAGTGGGGGGTCCACCCAGCCCTCTCTCCCTCACCCCCACGCGCAGACAGCCTGTCAGCCCCTCCGCTGTCCTGTCCCCGTCCCCTCTCCCCTCCCCCCATCCCGTCACCTTGCTGGACACCCCAATGCCCTTCCCCCCCCCTTGAGGGCTCCCTTCCCTCCAGGGCAGGAGGCAATGCAGGGGTGCGTGCTAGCGTGGTCTCCTGGGCATGTGCACCCTCCTACTGACGACCTACCTGCTCTTCCCCCCCCCCGCAAATAATCCGCAAATGGGGGGAGGGACACTGGGCATGGGGGGGTTGCTGAGCTGGCTCTTGGGGATGCTGCCCACTTGGTGCCTGTGCCTTTGTCCCCTCCCCCCACACCCCTCCTCCGAGTCAGCTCAGTGAGCCCCTGACCAAGCCCACAGCCCCAGCACCCCCCACCCCGGCCCCTCTCCCCGCTTCTTGTTACTGCTGGTTCTGCCCTTTGACACCTTCTGGACAAAGGGGACAGAGCAGGGAGCTGGGCCTCCCTAACTCTCGGACTCCCCCCCACCACCACCAGACTGTGGGGAAACACTCCCCTCCCCCCCTGCACGACCCCACCCCGCACTTTGGCAGAGTCTGTGCCCAGCACAGAAGCAAAATCAAATCAGTGACCTCCTAGAGTTTTAAAAAAAAAGAAGAAAAGTGGGGCTGGAGCGATAGCACAGCAGGTAGGGCGTTTGCCTTGCACACGGTCAACCCAGGTTCGATTCCCAGCATCCCATATGGTCCCCCGAGCACTGCCAGGAGTAATTCCTGAGTGCAGAGCCAGGTGTCACCCCTAAGTATCTCCAGGTATGACCCCCAAAAAACAAAAATCAGAATCCCACCACGCACCCCCGCACGTAGCCAGGAGACTTGGGGTCCGGCCTTCTAACCCCGCCTCCAGGGCAGGCCCTGGGACCTCCCCGTTGGGTGCGGTGGCCCCCCCACCCGGGGCCAGGCCATCAGGGACAGCCGCTCCCCTCCCTTCCCCCCACCTGCTCCCTATCTCGACCCTCCCCCATACATTTGGGGGTCTGAGCCACCCCCCATATGGTTCAGACCAGTCCCCACTCCATCCCGGCCTGCAGCACAAACCCTCCACCTCCCCCAGCCGTGCACTGGCCTGTCCACCCCCCCCCCCAGGGCCCTGGCTGACCCCCATCTGCAGTTGGGTCGCACGCAGCCAGGTCCCTGTCCTTCCCCCCCCACCCCCGGCACCCTGCGTGCTGGTCCCTCCGCCTTTTTGTACTTACTGTATGAAAGAGCTGGACTAATGCTGTACAGAGAGGACGTAGCCGCCTGTATAGACTGTATATAAGGTTTCTGTATATTGTACAGAGCTGTGTATAAACTGGATGCAGAAGCTGCTTGTCTGCTCTCTGGGGGCGTGGGGGGAGCTTTGCTCAGGATCCCGGGCGGGGGCCGCGCTTGGAGTCACAGAGAGGACGCGATGGCTGTCCAAACACAGAGTGGGCATTCAGGGTGCAAAGTTGGGCCGATTGTGCCCACCCCTGCCGAGAGCTGGTTTCTGTTAAACCTTTCCCTTCCCCCACTGCCGGCCCTGGCCCGTCAGCGGGCAAGCGTTGAAACCCCAGGGCCACTGGGGCGGGGGGGCGGGGGGTCTTCCCTGGAGGGCCCAGTGGCCCTGATCAGGCCCTCAGACTGGCCCCTGGGCAGTGAGGCCTGAGCTGGTGGTGCCTCCATCCAATCCCGGACCCTGCCCTGCCCCTGCCACACAGCAGGTGGCGCTGTTTCTCCGGCCAGCCTCGGACCCCGCCCTGCCCCCTCCACACAGCAGGTGGCGCTGTTTCTCCAGCCGGTACCACCCAGGCCTCACTTTGGCCTTGACCTGCCCCTGACTGACCCTGGCCAACCCGAGTCCTGAGTGTTCTCACCGTGGGACATGGTTCAAGGTTCAAGAGTGGGAGAAGGGGGGAAACAATAGCACAGCGGGTAGGGCGTTTACCTTGCGCGCGGCCAACCCGGGTTTGGTCCCCAGCATCCCATATGGTCCCCTGCACACCGCCAGGAGTAATTCCTGAGTGCAGAGCCAGAAGTGACCCCTGTGCATACCGGGTGTGACCCAAAAATAAAAAACAGAACTGGAACGATAGTACAGTGGGTAGGGCACTTGCCTTGCACACAGCTGACCTGGGTTCAATCCCTGGCATCCCATATTGACCCCAAGCACTGCCAGGAGTAATTCCTGAGTGCAGAGCCAGGAGTAACCCCTGAGCATTGCTGGGTGTGACCCAAAAAGAAAAAAAAAGTGGGAGAAGGGGACCTGCCTTCCTCCACGGCCTCCAGACAGGAGAGAAGCCGAGACTAGCTCCAAATCACTCAGGTGCCAGAGGAGGGCATCGGAGAGTCTCCATGCTCAGGACTCTGCCCTCCCAATCATCTCAGGGTGGCCGGGTGCTCCCCACCCCGCAGCCCAGTCTCACCACGACCAGTGAGTGTAGAGGGGTCTGGAAAGCTGCGGGTCTTCGAGGGGGGCATGACAGGAGTGTGTTATGACGCAGAGACTGGGTGCTGGTACTGGGGCCACGCTCTGCCTCCCCGTCCCCATTCAAGGGCCAGGTTGGGGGGGCTTTCGAGCACCTGCCTTGCTAGCAGATGGTCCTGAGTTCAAGTCCCCCGGCTCCCACCTGCACCCAGCACAGTCCAGCAGCTCTACGCTGGGAGCCCAGCAGGCAGCTATGATCCCCGGCACCCTGAGCCACGTCAGGGAGTGTGCGAGCCCCTCCCCGGAACGGCTCATGAGTCCCAGAGAGCACCCTAGCCTGGCGAGCACCCCGTGAGCACTGCAGTGGGCCCTGATGGGCACCCCGGCTATAACGTCTGTGCCTTGGCTCTGAGTGTGACCGCCGAGAACTCGTGTGCAAGCTTGTGTGCGCACAGTGGTAGGAGCAAGAGTTGCAGCAGTCTCTCACCCCCGCTGGGCGGCACCACCGCTGAGACTCTGCTGGCAGCTGGGGCCAAAGAAATAATATACCAGATGGGGCTGGAGCGACAGCACAGCGGGGAGGGCGCTTGCCTTGCATGTGGCCAACCCAGGTTCGATTCCCAGCATCCCATATGGTCCCCTGAGCACTGCCAGGAGTAATTCCTAAGTGTAGAGCCAGGAGTAACCCCTGTCCCAAAAAGAAAAAAAAAGAAGAAAAGAAATAATATACCAGCAACCCCGGCAACCATAAAGGGAAGCTGCCTTTCATGTCCCCCTGGACCACGTGGGATGTTCCAAATTCCCCCCCGGAGTGATCCCTGAACACCACTAGGTGTGGCCCCCAAACCAAAACAAAGACCCCAAAATGTGTGGGAGCCACAGCGAGGCCTGGGTGCAGCCCCTGGCCATTGGCAGCATTGGTCAACATTGGTCACTACCCCTGGTCCCCTGAGCCCTGCCAGGAGTGATCCCAGAGAGCAGAGCCAGGAACAAGACCTGAACACTGCTGGGCGTGGCCTCAAAACAAATAGAATATAGTAATAATAAAATACAGTAATATAGAAGTAAAAATAGTAGGGAACACAGAGCCGCCGGCTCTCCCAGCGCCTTGAGCAGAGGAGGGGGAGGGGTCTCTCGCAGAGACCCCCGCACTGCTGTGCAGCCGTCCCCTGAGTCCCCGGGCCCGTAGCATCCTCTGCTCTGCACGGGACTCAACACGCCTCCCAGTCCTTGCACCCCCTCTCCCTTGCCGGTCCCCCTGCCCTCCTGGCACTCAACGGGGCCTCCAGCCCAAGCCCAGCTGGGTTTGGTGGGTTTGGACCCTGACTTCTATATGGACTGGTCTGAACACTGGTCTCAGCCTCCCCGGAGTCTAGAGATGAAAGACCCTGAGGACAGTCCTCTTGGCTCCAAAAAGGAATGTGGAGGGACAGCAGGAAGGAACCCCCAAAGCACAGCGAGTTCTGCAACTGCCTGTTAAGTAGAAGACTCGCACCCGCCACCCCCAATTTTCCAGGCTACCCAGCCTCTAAGCAGTAGGGAATGCTGAAGACAAAACGCATGTTCTGGACCAATAGGACTGCCGTGAGGGCGTTTGTTTTGCACGCAGTCGATCCGGGTTCAATCCCTGGCATCCTGCAGGGTCCCCTGAGCACCACCAGGGGTGATTCCTGAGTGCAGAGCCAGGAGTAACCCCTGAGCATCGCCAGGTGTGGTGGCCCCCAAACCAAAATAAAATGATATTAAAAATGACACATTTCCTCCCTCGACACCTGTCCAGGGAAGGCTCCAGGATGGTGGACATCTGGACAGGCAGACCTGGATGAGTGGGCAGAGGCTGGATTTGCACCCAGTCCCGGGCACAGCTGCCAAGAAATTCATGTTCAAGAATCACAGGCAGGGGCTGGAGCGTTTGCCTTGCACGCGGCCGACCCAGGTTCCATCCCCGGCATCCCATAGGGTCCCCCAAGCACCGCCAGGAGTAATTCCTGAGTGCAGAGCCAGGAGTGACCCCTGAGCATTGCTGGGTGTGACTCAAAAAAGGCAAAAACAAACAAACAAACAAAAAAGAATCACAGGCAGGCAGGAACCAGAGCGAGAGCACAGCAGGAAGGGCGCTGACCTTGCACACGGCTGATCTGGATTCAATTCCCAGCATCTCATCTGGTCCCCTGAGCCCTTCCAGGAGTGATCCCTGAGGACAGAGCCAGGAGTAACCCCTGAGCATCACCAGGTGTGGGCTCCAAACCAAAATAAAATGATATTAAAAATGACACATTCCCTCCCTCGACACCTGCCCAGGGAAAGCTCCAGGATGGTGGCCATCTGGACAGGCAGACCTGGGTGAGTGGGCAGAGGCTGGATTTGCACCCAATCCCGGACACAGCTGCCAAGAAAGAAATTCATGTTCAAGAATCACAGGCAGGCAGGCAGGAATCAGAGCGAGAGCACAGCCAGCAGGAGGGGCACTGGCCTTGCACACTGCTGATCTGGATTCAGTCCCCAGCATCCCATCTGCTCCCCTGAGCCCCTCCAGGAGGGGTCCCTGAGTACAGAGCCAGGAGTCAGCCCTGAGCATCGCCGGGTGTGGCCCCAAATCCGATTAAAAAAAAAAAAAGACTGGTCCACAGGCCTAGGCAGCCTGGCCTGGCTGGGGAGGGGCCGGTCAGAGAATAACAATTGTCTTAAGGGAGGCTGCGGAGGGGGAGCGAGCTTGGGGTGCGTGGGCCGGGAAGAATAGCCGCCTCAGTGAGGCGCGCCCCCTCCGGCCAGCCCCGCACAGCTGGGATGCCCAGCAAGCTCCCGGCTATATATCTAAGAGCAGCAGCTTCCAGAACGGCCCCCGGGGGACAAAACCTCATTGTGAAGCACCCGCCGGCCCGGCGGCCCCTTCCCCCAACCCCAGAACTGTCGTGGCATTGACCCTCCGCGGTGGCCGCAACGGGCGGCTGACTAGGGCACATGTGGGTTCAGGACAGGCCACCGCCCCCCCCACACACACACACACACATACACATACAACTGAGCAAGGAGGAGGGCAGCCCCAGAGGAAGCAACTTCACAGGATGGGACCCCCAAACCCACTGAGTCACGCATCCCAGCTCAGCCCCCCTTCGCTCTCCTGCTGGGTGTCACAGCTAGACAGAGCTGAGTTAGGGGGTCTTAGATCTGAGAATAAGTCTGGTGATGCCCAGGCCCTGCTGCTGGTCATCTGGCCACCAGGTTGTGGTGGGGGGTCAGGGGGGAGGGCTCCTCGCTGACTTCTGTGTCTGTGAATCTCTGCAAGTTGTGGGTTCAGCCCCTTTGTTCGTTTTTTGTTTGGGGGACCACGCTCAGCAATGCTCAGGGCTTACTCCTGGCTCTGCACTCAGGGATCAGGGGACCCTCTAAGAGGGGTGCCTGGGATTGAACTTGAAATTTGAGTTGGTCAAGTGCAAGTACCTTACCCATTGTTCTCTCTCTCTCTCTCTCTCTCTCTCTCTCTCTCTCTCTCTTTGGGTGGGGAGTGGTTTGGGTCACACCGGCGATGCTCAGGGGTTCCTCCTGGCTCTGCAGAAATTCCTCCTGGCACTGCTCAGGAGACCCCATGGAATGTCAGGGATCGAACCTATCTCCCCCGTGTGCAAGGTGAGCTTCCTCCCCACTATACTACCATTCCAGCCCCTGTCCTATCTCTCCAACTGGGTTGAACACCTTTGGAGTGAGATGATTTGCTTGGCTCTGGATTCCAGAATTTTCTGCTGGCGACGTTTTGCAGAACTGTCAAGGTATTTGCATTGAAAAAAATAAGTACAAATGCAGAAGTATTTTTGCAAATGTATTGGGGAAAAAAAAGAGTAACGCAAACGTATCCATCAAGCACCCACAGTGTGCTCGAGGCTGAAGCAACAGCAGTGATGGAGCAGAGAAAATCTCTTACTCTCCATGGGCTGCCCCTGTTGGTGGGGACTGTTCACACCAGGAACTAGAAATCTGTGACCTGGCAAAGAAGAAGGACCTGGCCAAGGGCACTGCATTGGGGAGAGAGGTGCTGTGGGAGCTGAGGAGCGACAGGCTGGGGGGGTGGGGCTGGTGTTACAGACAAGTGGAAGAGCATGTGCCAGGGCCCTGTGGCCAGCATGCATCCAGCAGCTGGGAGTGAGACAACGGTGGCTGTGACTAGTGAGTAGGGAGGTAGAGGTAGAGACCAGGTAGAGACCAGGGTCAGTGGTGAGTGGAAGATGGGGACAGTCCATGCAAGGCTGTTGGAAACGGGGCAAGAGGTTTAGATACTCTGTGTGTGTTTGACTGTTTGGGGGCCACACCCAGCGGTGTTTAGGGACTACTGCTGGCTCAGCACTCACTCTTGGTACTCAGGGAACCAGATGGTGCCAGGGATCAAACCCTGGCCTCCTGCATGCAGAGCAGAAGGATTCTGCCATCCAAGACCTGTTGTCACCTCATGTGGAACATATCTGCTGAGCACCTACTGTGTGCTGAGGGTGTGCCCCATGCCCTTCAGCTGTTTCCAGCCCCCTCAATACTGTTTTAAACACAAAGGGAAACCACTGGATTTAGCAAAGGGATGATATGATCTAATGTACATCTTCCTACTTATATATTTTTAATTTTGGATTTTGGGGGCCACAGCGGTGGCCAGGGGTCTACTCCTGGCTCAAGAGCCCAAGGATCATTCTTGGTGGGGCTTGGGGGACCATTTTTGAAGCTAGGGATGGGTCCTGGGTTGGCAGCATGCAGGGCAACAGCTTTTTTTTTTTAATTTTAACAAATCACCATGAGATACAGTTACAGACTTACAAGCTTTCGTGATTACGTTTCAATCAATGTTCGAGTTCCCATTCCTCCTCCAGTGCACATTCTCCACCACCAAGTATTCCCAGCAAGGCAACAGCTTTGACACCCCGTTCTTTCTCTCTGATCTGATTTGCATTTTATTTGATTGATTTTTGTTTGGGAACAACACCCAGCTGTGGCCAGGACTTACTTTTGACTCTGTGCTCAGAGGTCACTCCTGGTGGGTCCTGGGGCCCCTAACGCTTTGCCAGGGACGGGCCCTGGGTTGGCCATGTGCAAGACCCCCTGTTCCCTGTTAACGTTTGAAGTCACCGCTGAGACATCACCTGGAGGTGTCAGCTGTTCAGACCTGGGGCGGGACTGTGGAGAGAAGTTACACGAGGGGAGGGAGGGGCTGGAGCTGGAGCAATAGCACAGTGGGGAGGGCGTTTGCCTTGCACGCGGCTGACCCGGGTTCGATCCTCGGCACCCCGTATAGTCAGTCCCTCAAACCATGCCAGGAACCCCTGAGCATGGCAGGGGTGTGCCACCCCTGCCCCAAAGAAAAGAAAAAGAAAGGAGGGGGTACACTGTGGCCGTCACCAGCCTCAGTTTCCCAGCCAGTAACGTGCCCCAGGCCCGCGCCTTCCGGGTAGGGAGGGAATAGGCGCGCTTAGGTGCGATACATTGTTGCTACAGTTACTGCTCCTGCTACAGTTACTGCTTTTGTTACAGCTTGGGCTGTTTCCGCCCGCCCTGAGGTTCGGACTCTTTCGCTGCTCCAGCGGAGGACGGGGTCTTCCGAAGCTGGGGGCGGCTGGTGCTCTCCGGCCCGCCGCCTCCCCCACCCCGCCTCCCCACGCGGCGGGACCCCCCGCAGCCCTGCACCCAGGGGCCGCCTGCAGGAGGCGCGCACGCCGCGTGGGATGCCCGGCAGGGGGCGCTGCGCGGGGGGCGGGCGGGGCGCGGGGGGCGGGCGGGGGCCGGGCCGGGGCGGCGCGGGGGGCGAGCGCGGCTGCGGGCCGGGCCGGGCGGCAGGCGGAGCGCAGCGGGGACTGTGGCGCGGGCCGCGCCGGCGATGCCGCGCCCCCGGGCCGGGCTGTAGCGGGGCCGCGGCGGAGAACGCGCCGGGCGGGCGGGCCATGGAGGTGGTGGACGAGACCGAGGCGCTGCAGCGCTTCTTCGAAGGTGAGGGGCGCCGGGACCCCCACCCCCCGGCTCTAGGCTCGGAGCCCCCCTCCAGGCTGGCACCGGCGGGGCGCCGGGGGATGCAGGACGCGGGGGGATGCAGGGCGCGGGGGACCGCGGGGCGCTGGGCGCGGGGGTCGCGGGACACGGGACGCGCGGGACACGCGGGGCGCTCGGGGACTCAGTCCGGCCAAGTTGCCTCCCACCCCCCGAAGTTGGGTCGACTCCCCCTAACACGGCTTCCTGGGCGCGCGATCCTCTGGGCGCTTGACTCCTGCAGCGCCCCTTCCTTTTGGTACCTCACCCCTGCACCACAGTCCCGGGAAACCCATCCCGCCCAGCGCTTCCTCTGGAGATGGGGACCCCCCCTTGCTTCCCGGCCCGCGGTCTTGAGGTATCTCCCACCATGTGCTCCCAGAGGCTGGGACCCCCCCTTTACTCCCTTCCCCCCCAACACCCCGCCGCCTGTGAGTCTTTCAAGAAGTCACCTCCTGCCTCCTGTCTGACCTCCAGGCGCTGGGACCTCGCTACCGTCCTTCCCTGAGGCCAGGGGTGCAGGGCCGGAGGTCCCTCAGGACTGTCCCCCAGCTGCTGCTAGGCTTCAGGGGGGTCTTGGACGGGCACGTGCCACCCCTCCCCGGTTTTCCTCTTGAGTTGGACCACTCCAGTCCTGAAGCTGCCTTCTTTTGGGGAGGGGGTAAGGAGACGCCCCCACCCGGTGCAGTCCAAGGGTGGCTCCTGAGGGTGTAGGGACTTGGGGTCCTCCTGGTTGTGCTGTGAAGGCCCCCCCCCCCAGCTGTGTTGGAGTATGTCTGCTCAGGCTGTGACCCCACCCCTCCTGCCTGGGCTGGACTTCACACAGCGTATTTGCTTATGGGGGTGGGGAGGCGGGAGCGGTGTTGGGGTCCTCACCTGGCAGTGCTCTGGGGACCATGCGGTCCTGAGGCGTGCCCCAGGAGGAGCTGTCTGCGTGGTCTCTGCCCCATCCATCCATCCTGGAGCCAATGGACGGAGTGTGTGTGTGTGTGTGTGTGTGTGTGTGTGTGTTGGGGTCGGGGGGAAGGTGCAGGCTGACTTCTCCCCACCCCACAGGCCCTCACCGGAGCTTCTAGCCAGGCTGGGGCCCCTTTGTGCCGCTCCCCACCCACCGGGGGAGTCCAGCCTCTGCCTCTGTGTCCCCCAGTCCGTTAGCCTCTCCTGCCGCCCAGCGCCCAGGACCCGGAGCCTTTGCTCTTGGGCGCCTGCCCAGGGCGGCTGGGATGTGGAGCCGTGGGGGGTGAGGGCCGGGATCCCAGCCCGAGGCTGGTGGGGGGGTGGGCGAGAGAGCATCTCTGTACCCCTGTTCCTCCTTGCCTGTCATGCGGGTGGTGGGGGGCCTTTGTCTACGCCAACTCAGATGAGCTCTCCTCGCCCCATCTCAGGGACCCCCAAGCATCTCCGGAGCCCCACAGGGTTTGGGAAGGTAAAGTGGGTCCCGGGGTGGGCGCCCCATCACGCCCCAGACACCCGTCGGCCTGCAGGAGCTCCCGAGGGGCTGTGATGGGGGCGTGGGGGGGAGAGTTGTGGCTGGAGGGATGGCGGCGGGGGTCTGCCCTGAGTCTGGCAGGGGAGTGGGCAGCGTGCTCCTGGCGGTGGGTGGGGGTGGGGCTGACGCCATGGCTCAGCCCTGCAGGGAGATAAGAGGAGACTCAGGAATGTCTGTGGGGAGCGGGTGCGGCTGGCCAGGAGCGAGTCAGCAGGCGGGCTGGGGGCCAGAGCCTGGAGGGGCCACGCGGGGTGGCACTAGGGTGGGGTTTTCAGGGCCACTGGCCTGGACGAGGCCTGGCGGGGAGCAGGTGGGCCCAGGTGTGTGTGTGGGGTCTGTGAGGAGCTTGGGGGTGCCCCTGAGTGTGAGTACCGAGGAGACGCATGCTTTTGGGGGTACTGCTCCTTGCGTGGTGTCTGTCCTTAGTGCTGGGACCTCCCAGTTGCCACCTGCACTTGGCCTAGTTTGCACAGAGGGGTGGGGGCGGGGATTTGTGTTCTGGGGATCAGGGGGGCTGAACTGAAGGCTGGGGGTGCCCTCGTCTGACCCAGCCCCGGGCACACCTGGGCACATGTCCCCGGTGCTGAGCTGGGTGGGAATAAGGTGTCTTGTCCTCGACTTGGTGGCCCCCTTGAGGCTGGTACTGCCGGTGGGGGCGGGGGGTTGGCCCCCGTGACTGGCCCGCTAATCCCCTGGTAGGGAGAGCCGGGCTATCCGGAGAGGCCAGCACAAGCCTACAGAGAGGGGACGCCTGGGCAGGTATACCAGGTCTTGGGGACAGTTGTCTGCACTGCCTTGACCAGCCTGTCCTGGTGGGCGCCCGGGAGCTGTGTGGCTCTGGGCAGACTCTTGCTGTCTCTGGGCTGCGAGGAGGTCGGGAGGTACCGGCAGACCAGAGGAGGGTGGCGCTCGGGGGGGGGGGGGGTGCGCGTGTGGACAGCCAGCACGGAAGCCTTGAACACCCAGGGGTGCAGGGCCCCCAGCAGGCCCTGGGGGGCTCCTGAGATGCAGGACCCTCTCTCCCCTCCTGCAGACCTGACGGAAGCCCCCCCCCCTCCCCCGTCTCCTAGGACCCACAGCTGGGGCTCAGTCCCGCTTTCCGCAAGGTGGACACCCACAGCAGTGCCCCAGCCTCCAGGGTCCTGGCTTGAAAGCCCCCCGGGAGGCAGAGATGAACCCCTTTCCCCAGGGCTGTGTAGACCGCCTGAGACGGGGTTGGGTAGGGTGACCCCACCGGCCTGGTTTTTTTTTCTTTTTTCTTTTGGCTTTTTGGGTCACACTCGGTGATGCACAGGACTTACTCCTGGCTTTGGACACAGGCATCACTTTGCACACAGGAATCACTTCTGGCGGTGCTCAGGGGACCATATGGGATGCTGGGAATCGATCCCGGGTCGGCCGCGTGCAAGGCAAAGGCCCTACCCGCTGTGCTATCACTCCAGCCCCAACCCTGCCGGCCTGAAGCACTCCCAGGGACCCGGTCAGTGGGGAGGACGGACGGCCCTGACCCCTGGTTCCTGAGGATCGCCGTTGGTTCCCTGGACTCATGTCCCCACCCGGGGCTCAGGCTGGGGGGGTCTGACTCATCCCCGTGTCCCCACACCCAGCTCAGGGTCACACGGGGTTGTGTGTGTGTGTGTGTGTGTGTGTGTTGGAGGGGTGCAGGAAACGTTCTCAGGGTCAACGGAGGCAACGCTGGGTCTATGAAGGGGTGAGGGGGTGAGGGGGTGCCCCTGACACTAGCTCTCGGGCACCGCAGCCAGCATGAGGGGGGGGATAGGTCGTCTCTAACTCGGACCCTCCTGAATTGGGGGGGGACGGGGCAAAGCGATCTGGGCGTGTGGGGAGAACACGCAAGCCAGGCTGTGCCCCCACTCGCCGGCTCCCCCAGGCTTACCAACCGGTATTGGGGGGCGGGGTGCCGCCGCAGAGGCTGCTGGGAAGGGCCTGCTGGGCTGCTGATTGGCTGCTGCTCTTGGACTTTGCCCTCCTGATAAGGCCGGGCAGGAATCATTAACCAAATCATTAACGGGGCGCCCCGCCCCGCCCTGCCCTTCCTTTCCCAAACGTTCTTCCTTCTCACCCAAAGCACCTCAGTTTCCCCCCACCGCAGCCTCGGAGGCTGGGGTCAGGGGTGCTGCTGTCCACGGCTGCAGATGGGGCAGGGTGGGATAAGGAGGGACCCCTGCAAACACACCCCGGGGGTTCCTGTGTTCTGCTCTGTGTGATGGGGGCGCCGTTGTACCCCAGGGCGCCCCGCTCTGCTCCAGGTTCCTGCAGGGCGGAGCTGCCCAGGGTGCCGTGAGCCCCGAGTGCCGGCTGGGGTGGCCGCTATGACCCTGAGTCTATAGGACCTGCCTGGCACCCGTGTCCTACACTTGGATCATTTTCTGCCCTGCCCCTTCCCCCGCCCAATCTGGTGCTGTGTGTTCAGGACAGCCCCTCACCCTCTCTGGGCCTCACACGGAAAACGGGGCGCCCAGACGTTCTGGTGGGGGTTTGGCCTGGAGGCGGGCAGGGGACTGTCCTGGCTCCTTGTCCACTACCTCAACTCACCGCTGAGCCCTGGGGTGCATCAGAAGCACAGGGGTATCCCCACACCTTCCTGAGGTGTGCGAGGTGGGAGAGGATGGGGGGACCCAGGTCACCTCGGGGTGCCGTGACCCCCACCCAGCTCATCCCCACTGAGCCCTGGGGTCCCCGAGTGGGGAAGTTTGGGGGATGACGAGCAGGGAGTTCGGGGATGCCATGATACCCTCCCCCCTCTACCACCAGTGGTGGGGGCTGGGGGTGTCCAGGCCCCCAGTACCGTCTGCAGGGCTCCCCTCAGCCTCCTCGCACCCCCCAAACCGAGTGCACACTAAAGCCAGCACTGTATGTCCTGGTGGGGTTGGGGACCCCCGGGGACCCCCACCCTCCCTGGCTTCTCCCTCCCGTGACCTGGCAATGAACCTTAGGGACGTGTCCTGCTAGCCTGGAGACGGGGCTGCTTTTGGGGGGGGGGTGGACCCCGGTCGGAGATGCCATTTATGTAGTTGGATCTGGTGGGGACAGGCGGGGGGGTGGCCGGGTCCCCTGGGCGCTTCTCTGGACCCCCCTGAGGCGGGCCTGCTGCTTCCCGGACCGGGTCCCACTCTGCACCTCGACATGTCCTCCCCCCTGCCCCCCACCGAGGGCAGCTGGGTCCAACTTCAGAGGGACTTAGAGGGGGGCTGATCTCCCTGGAGAAGCGACCCAGGAAAGTGGGGAGACTGGGAGGGGGGGCTGGGTCCCCGAGGGCAGTACGCAGTGCGGTGACTTCCAGCGTCCCTGGCCGCCCACCCGATTTCTCCCCAGAATTTGGCACCTGCTTGAAAGCGAAAGGGGGCGTCCGCCTGCCCCCAACCCCCGCCTTCCACCAGCGTGCCATGTCCCGGATGCTTCCCAGGGGAGGCAGGCGGTCAGCTGAGACTCAGGACTGAGTGGACGAGCCCGT